AAACTAGATGATGGACCAGTTCACGAAATCATGATCTAATCCAAAACTAGCGCTTTGTGTTACCCATCCAATTATTTTTATTGGATTGGTCGTTTTATAAAAAATTTGAGATTAAAAAATTCTGAAAAGAATTGTACATCTCATTTATCCTGTTGCCAACATCTTCAAAAGTTTTCCTAGATTTGTTGGTTCAAAAATTTGAAAATGACTTTTTTTTTGATTCAACATATCTTCGATGCCAATTCACTAGCGAATTATCATAATAAATTACGACATTTTCACTGCGCTCTTGGCAAATTGATTATATTAGTAAGTTTACCTAGCAGGTAAGCATACACAACGTTAATCTTTCGAATTAGTGTACATAAATGTAACTAAATTCATATTTTATTATGGTTGCTAAAAATCGTTAAAATTGAAGATGTGTTCTTAAACCCATCATTCAATAACAGAAAATAGCTAAAATGCCTACAAATAAAAAAACTATATTTATAATAGATTGAATGCACACAAACTCAATTTTAATTGAATTTTTTTTTTTTTTCTTATAATAACCTAAATGTGGCTTGCACAATAATTACAGATTTCCCCAATTAAACAAACATGTGTAAAATCACTGCGACCATAAACGTTCATTCATAATCCATATATATCCGAAGTTGAAGCGCTCATATCCAAGATACTTCCAAATTTGTATTCAATGAATTATTGAAATTTGTTTTTTTAATGATAGTTGTATTCGACTATCTATTGTTTTAATATTTGTTATATTTATCACTATAAGTTACACCGTTGTTGCATAAAAAATAACTTTGTTTTTTAGATAAAAGAAAAGTATCGTTTTTCCAACAATGATTTTTCTTTGACATATTCAGAATTCTAATTGAAAACATCTAGTTAAATATTCCAGCAAGGATAATAGCCAGTTCCTAAATAATTAACTGTCGGTTCCCAATAATTATTGTTATTATATTCTAATTCATTACTATATTTATACCATCGCGTAAAAAAATATACTGAAGGTTATTTGCTTTACCTAAAATATAAGCGTTCTCCTCCTTTGTTTCTTCGTTAATCTTTTTTTCTTTAACGTGCCCAGGAATAATAGATGGTTTCAATCAGATCCTGTTTGACTCCAGACATCTTCTCCGTGTTTCTCTTTTTCTATTTTCTTTGTTTGTTTGTTTGTTTGTTTGTTTTTTGTACTGTTTTTATAGTTACACCATCGCATAAAAAATTTTTTTATTATCAAAAAAAAATTTTCTTTACTTTTTTGAAAAATTTTTATTTTGAAAAGTTTTTATTTTTATGAAAGTTTTTATTTTTATGAAAATTATTGAAAAAAGATAAAAATTGGTTGGGAAAATTATTTTTTTAAAAAAGATAAATAAAAAAAAAAGATTTAGTCGTTCTTTTTATACTTTTATTTTTTTGTGACGTAACTGTAACGTCAATAACGCTGACAACCAATAACAATGTCAATGACGATGACATAAATAATATCAACATAAATAAAACAACCAATGGATATTTTAATCCCCTTTTTGGCATAGGTTTAAAATTTTTTTCAACTAGTACATTGTAGAGGCATTTTATTTATATTGATCACTTAAGCACTGTGATCCTTTTAACAATGAAGCACAAGAAAGTCGAGGATGGAATTAACACAGAAATTTTATAAGAATAATATCTATTCAAGAGAAGATCAAAGGTGAAGCAAAAGGAGTGAATACACTATTTTTCCTTCAAATAAGATTTTTTTTTTGTATATAGAAGATCAATCATTAAATCCAACATGAGCCTTGGGCGTAAAGATGGTTTGGAGCACACTTCGGGGTTCGTTTCTAAAGGAACTCACGAGCCATACAGTGGTTAAACAGTAAGCTCTGCAACTTACCATCTTCCTATAGAAAACATTTAAGCTTCTAATCTTTTGATTTTCTAGCTCTTATATCATGTTTAGCTAAACAGAAAAGCAAACCTTACCTTGGATTTTTACGCTCCCATTGAAAAATAATGGTTGATTCGACATCTTTATCATCTTCTAATCGGAAAGTTCATGATGTTTTATGGTCTCGACGATATTTAACGGAGGTGAAAAAGTTAGACGAAAGCAATTATGAGGACTTGGAAAATATGATGCGTTTTTTTTATTTTGCAGAGAGCAACTCCTATCCTTGTCACTGCTTGATTAGGAGCATTTATCGTTGGTAGCTATCCTAGACTTTGATGTTTGGGACTATTCATCAGATAATTAGTTAAATAAAATTTCAGTTCATACTTGACTTTTAATATATCTGAATGAATTAATTGTTTCTATTACATCAACCTGGAAACTTTGATGATAATATTTCATATGTTGATTCAAACGAGGATAATTCTGAAACACAAGCACTAGTTCACACTGATAGCTTGCAACCTCTATCTATGAGAAAGAGAGAGAGAGAGAGAATAATATGCCATCACGAGAAATTAATCACCGTATCTAAAATGAGTAAATTATTTTGTTGGATCTTCAAAGTTTATAAAAAGAAACCAGTTAGTTATAAACTAAAATATTAACAATAGACTGTGGAATTTAAATTTTATCTATATTTGTAGATTACACAATCATCACTAACATCACCTTCTTCACCAACACCTGACATGGGTTTTTCTGATGAAGAAAAAGAAACTGCTTAAAGTGCTCCCTTCATTGTAAAGGAAAAGAAACTGCTTAATATATTTTACATAATATTGTACCCCCATTCCTATCATGCTAAAATTTTTACACTATATGAACGTGACATTGTTTTATTAATTATACAAAAATAAAAAAACTGATGCAAGTATACGCTTATATGATTTAAATATCAAATTTTTCGGGTTCTGGGTTCTAAGTGATGATGCACTCCTCATATGGACATTCGAATTATGTAACAAAATCGGCATCTATAGATATTCCAAATCAATATAGACGTTAACGTTAAAACAAATCCAAATGTATTTCTATTTTATTTTGTTATTAACATGACCCTTAGAAAAGGAGATGGCTCATGGATAAAATTCAATCTATAAGATAATAAAAGTTTGAAAATTTATCTCTTGAAACTTTCATCAGAACTTTAATTGGTTCTTTCTTTCCCTTTCAATGACTGCTCAACAACATCTATAAATAAACATAATTTTTTCTTAAATGAAAATGTAACCCGAAATACTTGGCAATACAAATATTCACTTTGTTCGGTTTTATTGCAACATGCCCCGACTAATTTAACCAATTTATTTATTGTAGTATTTACATCACAAATTTGCTTCGCGCTATACTTGCCACACAAACTTTATTTCTATATATCAATAACAAATAAGTGATTGAGTCGTGTGATTTTATAATATTGTGATCGTTGTTCGACGCAGCATTTAGGTTTCGTTGTGCCAAAGTTGATCGTACTTGGTTTGGATATGTGATTGTCATCGTGGTAGTTATAATTCTGTAAAATCATTTGTCTATTTTGTCTATCTATTTTAATTGAAAAAAAAAACTTTCTTTGTTATTTACTACCATAAAAAGAATCTTTTTTAAGACTGACTACTCAATTTCAAGGTTCGGAAGTTTGGTTAATCGGTCATTCACTTGGTGGATCTTTGACCTTGTTACCAGGATTAACTTATGGCTTGCCAGTGGTTGCATACGAGGCACCTGGGGAAAGACAAGCCGTAAAAGGATTACATTTATCAGGACCGTCAGCCGTACCATATGAATAATTATCTGTTTGGCATATTGAACAAACTGCTGACCCTATTTACATGGGCCTTTATAATGTAATAGTCGAATAATTATTAGTTAAATTTTAAAGTTTGTTATTAATAATCATCTTTGATATATTAATATATATATATTTATAGGGGATTGATTACAAGTTGGTGTTATCTTTGTGGATATGCAGTAAGTTATGAATATTTATTTTTCTTAATCTAAAAATTTTCTTTATTTCAAATTAAAAAGAAAAAAGATGGAAACAAAATGTCATGTCGGAAAAGTATGTGTATTTGATGTAATTGAGAAATTAAAATGGGGTATAAGTTTAAAAACACACAGTATTAAAGAGGTGATTGAGAAAATTTTAACTCTTTGGAATGAGACTTATAACTTTGCAATGCCGGAATGTAAACATGAACATAAATGTGAAGATTGTGTACTTTGAAATTATGGCTAATTTATTGTTTTTTTATATGAGCATTGGTCATTTTAATAATATTAAGTAATAAATAATTTACATTTATTTTAATAATTATAATAATAAACAAAAGGAAAGGAATAAAAATAAAGAAATGAATACACAACAAGCAAATGAATGTGAAATAAATATGATGTGTAGATGCCTTTGAAATATTATGTAACAGTTAGTAATACTATGATCTAGTAACAAAGTCAAGAACCTAAAATAAATATAAACACTAGTAGTAACAGTGCTAAGAATAATGGTGATGGTGAAAACAACATTATTTATCTATCAATAACAAACACCGTTAGTCATATTTTTTCCTTTGTAATTGTATTTTTCAGCCCATAATTCTTTCACCCATTTACCATCACCCACAAAAACTTCCCCTTCTTCTTCAGTCTTTTTAATTTTATTGGGTTCTTCTTGATCATCATCATTACTAATATTTTTTGATTCCTTACTATTACTCATTTGATTTATAAGATATAACCAATTTAAAGTTTGAAATACTGTAAAGTATTCTTCATTGACTGTTGTCTTTGCTGCTTGTGACATTCTCTTATAAAGGCCATCATCATTGAATAATTGATATAAATAGTCAGCAACTTGACTAGTGTTACCTACATCAGCTAAAAAACCAGTTTCTCCATGACGAATTTGTAGTGGTATACCACCAGCCTTAAAAGCTACAACAGGTACACCTTTTGCCAAAGCTTCAGTGACTTTAACTTCAAATCCTTCTCGTGTACTTAATTGTAATACAACATGTGCACATCTTAACATTGTATTAAAAAGTTGATCACAAGGTGGTAATCTTACAACTGATATATCATCAACTATATCTTGATATATACTTTCTTTTAACAAAGAATGAGTTTGTTCATATATTAATGTACCATCAGGATCATCTATGCTACCAGCACCACATATAATTAATGAGGGCATTCCATAGTTATTCCAACCTGTATTTTTCAATTTCTCTCTAAATAATCTAAATGATTCAATTAATAATGGAATACCTATAATGATATTATATTATATTAAAAATTAATATTGAAAAAGAATTTTTTTTAAGCAATAATAATATAATAAATTAATAATACCTTTACTTGGGTCAAACCTAGCAACTTGAACAATATATGGCCTCTGAAAATCTATTACTACACCACAATGATCATTTGATAAACGATTATAAATTAATTTATAATATCCTTTGTCTGAATCTTTTAATTCTTTATTTAAACCATCTAATGGATCTGTGGAAGCTGGAAGCAATACAACCTAAACAATGTTTTAAAAAAAGAGAGAATGATTGTTTAGATAATGTCAAGATAAATAATATATCAAATAACAAATTTTTATTTAAAAAAATATATAATTACTTTTTCACGGGGAACATTATCTGGTATGAAATTTGCAATTGGATGAGATACAAAAATATCAGCTTGTGATATGTATTGATTTAAAAAATTCCAAGTTTCAGCTTGTGGACCATTTGGATTGTCTCTGATTAAATCTGCACAAACTTGAATAAATGTAGGTAATTTATATAAATATTGATTTATCAAAAAAAAAAAAAAAAAAAAAAAAAAAACTTACTTTCAATATGACTTCTATAAATAATTTTACAAGTTGGATTAAGTTCTTTGATGTGTGGAATAATACCACAAACTATAATATAAAATATAAACAAAGTATGATTATGTTATTTTAAATAAATGAATAAAGATTGATTATATAGATAATGGAATATCATGTGTACCTTGTGGATCATCTATAATTATCACATCACTATTTTTTATAGGACCCTCATCATCACTCCAAAAGCATTCGGCATTAGTATTAGACCAATCAATGAATCTTTCCATATCAAGTTTTGTTAATCTAACATCAGGTGGAGCAACACCCTTTTAAATATAGAATAAATGAATAGATTTAATTAACTCATTATTATGTAGTTACAATTTTTTTTTCAAACAACTAACTACCTGTAGAACATTATGGAATTTTCTTTTTGTGATATCAAAAATTTCAGGTTTTGGTTTGGCAACAAACCAATGTACATCAAGTTCCAATAAAAGACATAAACGTATAAGTGCATGTCTCATCAAAGCAACTAATCAATTGAGTAATATAAAATATATAAATATAAAAACAGGAATAAAATTGAATTAAAAAATTAACAAATCCATTCAAAATTAATTACCTCCACCACCTTGAGGAGTGGCATTAAAAAATGATACACGAACTTTTTTAGCTCTGAGCTCATTTGCAATTGTATTTATTACTCTCCAGGTTTCAGGGCAAACAGTTTTTTCATAATGAAGCAAATCAACCAATTTGATCATTCCATTAATATCAACTTCTACTTCATGCCTATAACCAACTGATATTCTTGGAATTGATCCTGGTGTTAGAGGACTCATCCTATATTCACATATATATGCAAATATGCAAAAGTTTACATATGTGTGTGTGTGTGTTTATATAAATGGTTATAGATCAATGGATTTTTAATATTTACCAAACAACAGTTTTTCTAACAGCAGAACTAGCCCTCTCATCAACAGTCCTACCTTTTGTATGGACAATGAATGGTAATGCATCAAGTTCTAACCAAATTCTTGATGCTAAAGTAGGTGATGTGAACAATAACTTTTTTATATTTTTTCCATTTTGATTTTTTAAATAGGCACCTAGACCTATAGCTTGAATCTTGAAATTTTGAGATCTAGCATATGAAGTAATATTTCTAAATATTATGTCAATGGCTCCGTTGACTTTTTCTTGGTCCGTTTCATACTTGGAAACATCCACTGAAGAAGATTCAAAATCAATTGTATAATATCCATCATGTATAGTAACAGCATAAACTATTTTTTGTTGATTGACCTCATCATAATCTAATTCCAATCCAAGATATACAGTTTGTGGCACTGCTAAAACACTAGGTTTTCTTTTTGTTTTATGAAGAAGTCCGGTTTGGTTTTTCATACTATTCATATTTACTTATAAAAATTAATAATTATTAATGTTTTATTATTTTTATTTTTAATCAGAATCGAATTTATTTATATTTATAATTATATACAAAAGTGATACACAAGAGGATGGCCTGATAAAAAAATAATTGGGTACAAGTCTTTTTTACATAATAATAACATCAATCTGGTAAACAACGAATTTTGAAAAAAAAAAATTTTTTTAAAAAAACATTTGTTACGCCCGAATTTATTAATATTAATAGAATCTTACGACAAACTCCTGTGATAAATGAACAATAAAAATGCGTTAAAAATCATACGATTAAAAGAATCAATCTATCGTTGTGATAAAAAAACATTTGAAAGATTGCATGATTACTTTCCATGTTTTATAATATATAATAAAATTATATGATTCCTGCAGTTTAAAATTGTAATAAAATTATATGATTATTTTCCATTATAATAAAACATGATTATTCCTGCAGTTTAAAATTGTAATAAAATTATATGATTATTTTCCATATGATTATTCCTGCGGTTTAAAATTGTAATAAAATGTATGAAATATTTTTATGAAATTCTAAAAGGTATAATACAAGTCTTGTTGTTTGGATGGTTATGTATTAAAAAAAAACAAAGTCATCTAAAAAGTGAAACTTTATTACAGCTGAACAAAAAAGAGAAATTTGCTTATTAAAAAGAAACCTCTACCAAAAAAATGTTGAATTAGTTAGCACAATTAATAGTTAAACCTTGGGTAGCACGGATATAAGTTCAATCTTATGAGCTTAAACTTGTATTATCCCCCACCATTTATGCCATTTATGCCATTTTTATGTGTAATTTTTTCCACTATCAAGAAGATTTGTTGGGTGGTATAATAACAAATTAATTTATTCTTTTCTAAAAATTTGTATATTTCATTTCGCCTGTTCCACTATTATCATTACTATTACTAAAAAACTATTACACATTCTAAATTTACAAAATAACAATGGTGATTTTAATATTTAAAAAGGGGAGATATTTTTTTATATTTATTATAGGAACCTAAGTTGAACATAACTTTACATTGTTCTATTACTGGACTTAATTGTTAAGATTACAAAATGAAAATCAAAGGATCACTGTAGCTAAACTTACTCTTCCAGATATTTCGGATAATGATTCAAAATCAATAAATGTTACAAGCGAAACCCACCCAGTTACTACTGAAACAGATAATACATGTGACTTGATGAATAATGATCAAGATGCAATTCCCAGTTAATGATTCTAGTATTTCTAGTGATGCTTTTGATTCAAATAATAGTATTGATTCACATTACATTACCATTTAAATTTATTAAATGTCATAATATTACCATATACTAATATTCAGAAATAACTATTCTTATTAAATACTCATTACTTCAAACTTCAAACAATTGTATTTTTAATATTTGTTTGTATTACTTGTAATGTTTTGCATTTTATAAATAATAAAAATAGACTATCATAAAATTTAACTGAGCTTAAATTTTTCTAGTGGGTGGGTATAAGTACGAACTGAAAAATGGTATAAATGAGGTTACACGGGTAATAGTATGGCCATACATTTATTATCTGTTATTATTACATTATTATATTTAGGCAGTTTCAGTTTAACTTAAACTGTTACATCATCTTCAAGAAAATATTCTCCAATTTTTAATGAGCCCAGTCTTCAAATTTTTTAAATTTTTTACCATGTCTACCAAGCATACCAGATATCGATTCTATCAATATATATATATATAAACACTCGATATTATTAAATATTTCTATTATAGTATAAACAAACATATTTACATATTAACTATATTCCCTCCCATGTTATAAATTATTTTTTATACAATATGTAATATATTTAAAAAAAAACATCCAAATATTTACTTAATCTTTTGGTGAATTCTCAACTTGGTAAATGAAATGTATTGAATTGATTACATGAAAGTTTCTTGAATCATCTTTTCCACAACGATTTTTTTGTCGCGCGTTTCCATCATTTCCATAATGGAAGGCCGTGTAACATCAAATATTGATTTATAAAAAAAATTTAATGCCTTGTTCAGTTAGCAATTATTATTATGCAGTTCACAGATGAACCCGAATCTTACAACAAGGAAGATCAAGATGTAGCTATTATATTTATACATTTATTTTGTATTTTAAAGATTTTCTTTTACAAGATTAACAAAAATGATTGTTTATGTGCTTGCACATGTATTTTAGGAAATAAATAGAGGAATATTGTTGTCCATGAATTCAAATTTTAATCGTGATCGATCAAAAAAAGCTTTAACAATACCTTTACTAAATAGAAAAGTATCAAGCATTAAAAATGATTTTTCATTTGATACTACACCCACAACTACCGACACAGCTACTACCCCTACACCTGCATCTAGTCTTGGCTTTACTGACCAAGAACATCATTTTATTAATGAATTGTTGGCACATCATTCAAACACTCGCACATTTAATGGTTATTTGGATAACACCACAAGGTTTTTCTGTCTTTTGATTTTTTTTTTTTAAAAAAAATTTACAATTTATACGAGGGTTCAATATTAACAAATAAATCAAACATTGAATATATAGATATCTATATTTTCTTGCCAAAATGTTGATATTATCAGTTGTTTTGATTATCCTTGCATTTATATTTTACATAATCGTTGAATTCTGTGTGGAATTTAGAAATGATTTTCATTACGAAGTTGACAAAGTTGTTCAAGGTTTTTGCTTTTTTTTCATCCTCATCAAATTATAAATATAAAATTTTAATTTTATTCCAAAACAAAACAAAAAATTATTTATGATAGGCGCAAATTATCAAATAGAAAATTGTCATCATAACTATGTCATAAACAAATGCGAGCCAGATACAAGAGCACCATACTTGGAGAAAAGTTGTGTAATGTGGGATAAATGTAGGATTATGGATCCATATAAAACAATAAGAAAAACTGAAATATTTTCTACTATAGCGGGTAGAATAATATCTTCGTTTGTTCATCAACTTTCAAATCGAGCAATGGCTTTTGTTTTTCTTGTAATTATAATCAGTATTTCATTGCTTAAAAGATAATAATAGATATAATATTACAATATTTATAAAAACATTATAAATAAAATTTTTTTAAAAAAAATGTATATATATTTATAATTTTGATTTAGTTGTTTCCATCCATGCAAATTCCTATTTAAAAAGAAACCAATATTTAATAAAAATATTTTTCTTTTAAAAAACAAATAATAATCTCATCATCATTTACCAATTTTTTATTACCACCAGGTTCGATCATAACATTAATAACAATGCAACTATTACTCTCATCACTGATTGTTTCTTCAAGAGCATTAGCTAATTCTTTGGGTGATTTTACAAAATATCCTTTGCCACCAAATGCATCAGCTACTAAGTCGTATCTTAGATTTGGTAGTAAAGCTGTTGATGGTAATTGGTTGATTGGTATTTTTGCATAAGAATCAGCATCAAGCCCATGGTAGATGCCATTATTGTTGATTACAATAATTAGAATTGGAATTTGTGCACGTACAACTGTTTCAATTTCCATTGCACTATTATATTATAATATATATATATTTTTAATTTGAAAAATCTTTTCAAATTCTATTAAAATAAAAAATAACATTAATTACCTAAAACCGAATGCTGAATCACCAACAATTGCTATTACCCGTTTATTTGGATAGCATAATTTTGCTAATTATATAAAGATGACTATTTAGTAATTGGATCATAATAATTTATATATATAATATTGTGGTGGAATGTTTGGATACAAAATTCTGATTGTTAATTTGAATTTCACGCACATGGATTTAAAATTCACAACAATATTATATGATTGTATTGCAACAAACCTGCAATGGAGAATCCAATCCCAACTCCCATAGTTGCAAAAGTTCCTATTCAAGAATTTCATCATTAAATAAATAAATAATTGCAAGCAAGGTAACAAACCTTGACGAGTTAAAAAATACCTGCATCTAATCTGCATCTTGGCTCTTCCAAATCAAAAACAGATCTTGCAATGTCCATAGTATTAGCACCTTCGCTAACCATAACAAAATTTTTTTTTGGCAATCTTTTCTTAATTTCCCAAAATGCACGATGATAACTCATGGGAATTTTTTCATCTTGAAACTTTTTCTGAACTGTTGTGATATTCTCATTGATCTTTTTATTCAGAGATTGAAAATAACTTGAGTTAGCAATTGAATATTTAAAATGTGTTGTTTGTATGGTTGAGATGAGTTGTGAAACAACATTTGGTAGATAGCCAAGTAACGCCACATAGATTCTAGAATTTTGATAGTGTTCCTCTGGTAATACATCTGCCTGAATGATTTTTACATTTTTATTGAATTTAGGCGGTAAACCGAAATGAAGTATCCAGTTAAGCCTAGCACCTAACAATAGTATCACATCTGCATCTTTTAATGCTTTTGATCTGGCAGCTGCAACACATAATGGATGTGTGTCAGGTACTACTCCTTTAGCCATTGGTGTTGGAAGAAACGGGATATTTGTTTGTTCAATCAATTGATTGATTTCTTTTTCAGCTCGTGAATATGATGCACCCTTACCAATAATTATTAATGGGCTTTTAGCATTTTGTAATAGTTGTACAGCTTTGATAATATCATCAGTATTTGCTAATGATTTAGGTGGATCAATCGGACCTTTGGGAAATTTTATTGATACGGCCTCACTACTGCTACTAATATCAATTGTAGCTTGTATGAAATTTGCAGGTAGATCAACATAAACAGGACCAGGTCGACCATAAATTGAAAACTTTATAGCTTTGTCAATGATATTTGGAATTTGTTTTGGATCAGTTGGTCTTGCTGAATATTTAGTGTTTGGTTGGCACAATGTTACTTGGTCTAATTCTTGGAAAGCACCCATTCCTTCCTGGTAAATATCTGACGAACCACCAAGAAGCAACAATGGCCAACAATTTACTTTTGCGTTCATGACACCTGCCATTGCATGTACAACACCAGGGCCTGATACTACTAAACACACCTAATTAATAACGAAAACATTGTTCTTTATATATAAAATCTTACGAGTGTGTATATATATTATTTTTTTAAAAAAGAAAATATTATACTTTACACCAGGTCTTCCTGTTAAATATCCTGTTAAATTACAGCAGGAAAAAAGAAAATAAGCAAACAGTTGTAAATTTAATTGAAAAATTTTAGTATATTCATTCACCATAAGCTCCTGCCGCATAACTAAGTGATTGTTCATTATGAAAACCTATAAAGCGTATTCCTTCAGATATTATTGCTTCTGCAACCTAAAATACTTTAATTATAAATGTGTACATTTATCCCCCCCAAAAAAATGAAGCTTTCTTTTTATTTTACCTCGACTACTGGAATCCCAACTATTCCAAAAACCACATTAATGCCTTGCTCTTTAAGAGATTTTGCAATTATCTGAGCACCTGTTAAATTATTTTTAGACATTTTATTGAAATTTTGGTAATAAAACTAACAAGATTTTAATAGTAATAGGTTGCGGCGAGTTCGTGTAATCATCAAATTACACAAGCATCAGCGTAGAATTTTACATCACGATTTAATTACATTCAATTTTTTACAAAGAATACTTTTTTTTACAGCGTTGTTAGTTTTTGCAACCCATCAATGCTCACAGCCTCCAATCTTTTATACCGCCCTGGAAATTTTTAATTGAGAATAATCAAAATCAAGGATTTGCAGTTTTTCCAATGAGGAGCTCGACTCATTGCAACATACACTTGCCCTTCAGCAAACATACTTTCGTTCAACATTCAACGTTACATGTGGCAAGGTCAAACCTTGAGTTTTATGAACAGTCAGAGCAGTTCCACTGATTGTTCCCTCAGTGGAAGTCACATGTTTAATGAAACAATTGGCAACAAAAATAGAACACATGTTATTTTGTTGTTTATTATTATTTGTTTTGTTTATTTTAACGATTTATTTATTTTTTACGATTTACGATTCACACTCTACCGCAATTTTTTATATTGACGAGGATTTCCTTCGCCACTTCAAAAAGGGCATGGTTGTTAAATAATGAATCAAATTTTCTAATTGTTGCGTTTCTCTCCTTCACAATAAGCGACAGGAGAACCTTTTCGAAGAAAGCTTCATTCAATTCCTTCAACAATAACTTTTTTTTTTCACATTTTCAAAAAAAGGCGCGGTTTGATGTTTTAATTAAATTAATTCCGAATCATTACGTTTTTTCTTCACACTTTCGAAAAAGCATGGTCTTTTTATTATTAGAAATAATATTTTAATAAAACAATTTCCCAAATTGTTACATTTTTCTTCATTTTCCCCAAAAAAAATTTATTGATTTTAAAAATTAATTAAATAATTTTTTTTTTAAATAAATCAATAATGGATTAATTTCTTGCTGGTATTTTTATGATCGTTTTCAAAAAAAGCTTGATTAATTTTCTTTAACAACACATTTTTGGAAAAGGCTCGATTTTAACCAAGTGATTTCTTTTTCATATTTTTTTTTTTTTTACTTATTATAAATACAACCTCTGAACGTTTTAAAAAAAATTGGGAGAGTGATCATGATCATGGTCATAATCATGATCAATGATCAATGATCAATAATCAAAAGATTTATACAACGCAGTCAATTTTGTGAAACGAAATTTCCTTTCTTTCGAAAATTTTCCAAAGAGAGATAGTATCGTTGCCAATTCTTTCTAAATATTGCCAATCTTTTCTAAATTGTTACAAAGTATGTTGCACTGATTTGGTTGAGTTGTATTCTTTCGTTAATAATAAATTTGTTCCGCGGATTTTTTATAGGGTCTTTCTATATGGCTACAGCAGATTCACGTGACATATGAACGTCCAAATTACCGAGATTGATAGAGGAAGCTGCAATTCTCCCTTTGGAAAATGAAATATCTGATAATGAAATTGAAAATCCAAGAAATATAGTCAAAGAGATTTCAAAATGATGTTAATAATATAATAGTTGTTGAGAGTAACACTATGCCTAAAGTTTCAACGAAAGATACCGTAATTTCAACAAGGTGATTTAGAAATAGATTATAAAGAATTTAAAGCATTTAAACCATTGAAAAAAGTGAAATTATTAGATAATGAAAACTAATACAACCAAATAGTACATCTTATTTCAACAAATAATTTTCATTTCCGTATGTATTATTCATTTATTCATTATTAATTTATTGCACTATACCAAACCTCTCTATAACAAACACCAAGTAAATTTCTCTATAACGAATTTCCCTTTTGTCGCCCGTCTCCGATTCAATGTTTTATAATCAATTTCTCTCTATAACGAACAAAACAGAGGGTTCGGTATAGAGAGAGAGCTTTGTATTATCAAAAAAATTTTGCCCAATCATCGCCAATTTTGCCGCTGCGGATTTCTTGTCATAATAATAATAATAACAATAACGGATTTTTTTGGCTAGAACCATGAATCCGCTGTGGCGAGGTTTGGCTGTAATCATTTAGCATCTATTAAGTGCATAATAATAAAATTCAACAGGCGCGTGATTATTTGTAAGTAATGAACGATTGAATTTACCAGTTAAAAAATTCCACGTGACTAAATTAACCAGTTAAAGAATTTTTGCGCGGTGCCAGCCTCTACTTTGTTGATGGAGTCTTCAAATTTTTTAATAAAAGTAGAGAATTTATCCATTTTAAATCAATTGTGTGTATTACAGGAGGCCTGTTAAAAATCTCATGCAATTTCCATAAATTCAGAGCCCCACCACCATGAGTTTTCCATTGCATCAGAACACAGGATCTGGCCAACTTTCTTTTGAAAGGAATATTCTTATTGGGACAATAGTCGCCGATCATTTCTAGATATGTTCGCCCAATGAAGATGAAATATTTTATGGATGAGTTTATTCACCAATAACGTTTTACAGAATATTTTAAAGTTTATTATAAAACGCACGCACGCCAAACTTTTCTTCAAAAAAGGTTATTAAACCAATTTCAAAATAGTATATATTAATATATTTTCAAAAAAAATAAATTTATTCCTTTTTAACTGGCTAATTTCATTTTGAAGTCTAGCTAGCTTCGGACAGCAAGTCTAATATGCAGTATTAGTATATACTATTGGGATATGGTGAAATTTTTTGTTTGATGAGGCTTTTCAATCATATTCTAAAAATAGATTTCTTTGAAAATTTTTTTACTTGAAACAATATTACTATGTTTATAGCGCAATTGAAAAGCCCCAAATCCCAAATGATTGATTTATAAACGGGATCGTCAATAGGGTTCTACATATTGGGGAACGGAGAATTGAATGGCTCACAAAAATTCATCAGATGATTTTATATTTATCTAAAACGTTCTCTTTCATTTTCACCATTATTTATTCTTAATTCTGTTTTTTCCCCTTCTTTGCCTTCATTCAGTAATTCATTTTTGGCTGGAAAAATTTTTTAATAATTTTAATGTGTTTTTTTTTGGAGTTTATATAAATATTTTGTAAATTTTAAAATTTAAAGTTCAATTCGTAAATAAATAAAAAGAAATGTCATTTGATCGTTCGAAATCGTTACACTCAACAGTAGACGATGATGATGACTTTACAGCTTCAACGTTTACAAGAAGAGGAAGGATTGATGATGATGATGATGATGATGATAACGACAGACGCCAAAATAGTAAAAATAATAACGAAGATTTAGATTTAGAATTACAAGAACGATCTGATAATATTAAACAGAGAGAATCAAATTGGATATTTCATACAGTATCAATCTTAAAACTTAACAAAACAAATGCATTATTAATATTTTTCATACCAGCAGTGGTCTTGAAAGCGTTAAACGTTGATGAAACTATAACATTTTTCTTTAATTTTTTGGCAATTATACCTTTATCAAATATATTAACTATTGGAGTTGGTGATTTAGCTGCTAGATTTGGACCGGTAGGATTTGATTTATATTAAATTAAAACAAAACGAAAAGTGTGCGCAGAAAGAAGAAGGAGATGATTGATCAACAAAAAGAAAGCTGATCATGATTCTTTAAAGTTTACTTACTTGAGTTCTTTAAAAATCTATTATTTAATTAATTATAATTAGGCTTATGGAGCAGTATTTCATGCATTTTCAGGAAGTTTTGTTGAACTTGTGATTGAATCATATGCTTTAATGGATGAGCAATATGCAATAGTTCGTTCAGCAGTTTTAGGATCAATTCTTTGTAATATAACATTGGTATTAAATAATTATAATAATAGTAATTATTTAATCATAAATGATATTATTAATCGATTACATTTATTATATTATTATTATTACTAATGTTATTTAGGTTCTTGGAATTGCATTCATTGCAGGATCTTGGCCGACTGAAAGACGTCGTCGTGAAGGCTCAATGAATTCGTTGAACGTGTCAATTCAAGTCAAATTATTTGTGAATACAAGTGCTTCTATATTAGCACTCGCAGTCCTTGCTTTAGTTACACCTGCAGCTTTTAAAATAGCAGCAGCACCAAATAATGCTTCCGTTTCACCATTCATAGAATGTAATATAAGAAATATAAGTCACGCTACTGCCATCATCCTAACTTTAATTTATATTGGTTTATTAGTATTTCAACTTAAAACTCATACACAAGAGGTAAATTTTATAATTTATTATAATATAATATCAAATGATATTAGTATTAACAATTTATATTTATATTTAGGTAATAGATGCTAAAGAATTTGATACAGAAGTAAAATATCATTGGTTTTTTGATTTGATTTTGTGAGTAAAATTTTCATATCGTTGTTTTTAAAATTATAAAAATATTTATTGATTCACAAGTTAAAATATGCCATAAATATTTTAGAGTTGCTGTATCAATTGCTGGCATTACAGTTTGTGCTAGGTTTCTTGTAACTAGTATTGAACACACTGCACATAATTTTGAATTAGGAACTGGATTTGTTGGAATTGTATTATTTCCACTTTGTGGTGATTATTATTATTATCATTATTATCATTATCATTATTATATATTATAAAGATATTAATAATTATTCTTTTTTCTAGTTGTTTCTAATTTTATGGAACATTATCAAGCAATACATGATGCTGTACATGATAAAGTTGACACAGCTATAAGTTTAATACTTAATACATCTGTAGTTAGTATAAAATCATTCAAGAAGATTTTATTTATTTATTTTTTATTGTTTTTACTAATTATATAAAAAACAAATTTTCAAATTTTTCTTAGCAAATGGCTTTATTGGTAGCACCAATATTAGTTCTTGTGGGTTGGATTACAGATAAACCATTAACATTGGATTTTAATGCTTTAGAAATTGCTGTTCTAAGTTGTGCTGTTTTAATCGTAAACTATTTGGTTGCTGATAATAAAGCAAATTGGCTAGAGGGTTACATGTTAATTGTTAAGTATAAATTATTTATTTATTATATATATTTCTTATCTATTTAATATTAATTATATTTATGATTATGATGATTGTATTTTTTAGGTTTCTTATTTTCTCATAGCGATTGCTTTCTTTTATTTTCCAAATACTATTGAACCAGATAGATCATACTATTGTGATCCTTTCAGTAGAAATTTACCACCTAAAAATGTAACTGATTCAATTTCACAAGATCCTAGCGAAGGAGGAGGTCATTAATTATAATCATTATAATCATTACGATTGTTATAGATATATACAATTGTTTTGTATTATGTATGTATGTAATTAGTTAAATATAATTTCCAACAAATATTGATATTAAATCATGTATTAAATTAACGAATAAAGATTTTTGTGTAGACATAAATAGATCTTATTGAATCCCCTTTATTAGCAAAGTTCTTACATTCTCTAACGTCCATTGTCCCGTATTTTTATTAAAATATCACTATTACAATAGATCTATTCTAAAATCAATATTTATGGCATATGAACTTTACATGTAAGTTTGGACTGCCATTAAGACATTGCTTGCTTTACAAGTATATTATCTGAACCAAATTGAACGAGTCTTACACTCATTTTTGCAGAATTTTATTACCTTCTTTTGAAATAATCAATATAATACAGTTAGTAGTGTGTGGAATTACTTACAAAGTTCCTGATAAAGCAATTTCAGCATGAGCAGCAGCAGATAAAATGTCATGTTATGGAGCAAAAATGACTATACAGTTTTTAAGGTTAGAAATTCTGCGATTCTATCTGCCGTCACGGCCGAAATTGCTGAATCATCACAAGTGCCATTTGTCTGATTCATTACCAGAAGTCACTAATACATGTATACCGGCATCGATTAATGATTTAACTGCAAGGTTAACAGTATCGGACCCAATGGCGTATTGGCCACGGTATTTTTGTTTTACTTTTATTACGTAAATCAAGAACGTGTTTTAACCCTGCGAGTTTGAGCCTATTCTAGCAGAACCAAGTACTTTAACAGTTGTATAAACGTTTGAATTTTTTAGCGCGATCCGCGATGACATGAGTACACCTTGATTATCGCAACCAGAAGTATCACAGCTCTGTGATGAGGCAAAAAACCAATACCACGAAGCATTTAAGCGAATTAGGAAGACTATATTTATGATCTAACGGTAATCGAGTTTATCCATATGATATAGGTTTGGTAATGGAACAACATATTATATTTTAACTATCGCGTCCTTTTCAACAAGTTTAACTTCTTTACAAAATCTGGATTCAGATATGCGATGTAACCTTGAACCACAAAGTCTTCAACTGAAATATCTTGAATCGGATTTTGTCAGTTTTAAAATTTACAAAACATTTGCTATCGAAATGTTTGGATTATCTGTCCAAGCAATCTTTCGACTATGTTAAATTGGTTAAATTGGTTTGACAGCTTTGGATTCCGTTAATAATACAATATGTCTTTCCAACGAGTACTTTAAATTGGGCATCGACCAATAAAAAAATTCCAATACTGCCAAAGTTGCCCATTTTTTTAAAAAATGTACTTTTTTCTGATAATTTCGTTAAAAATCATTTGCCCCGTATTAAAAATAAAAATTCTATATATAATAGATAATTTGTATCTTTTAACAGGAGGAAAAAATAAAGAGGAATGAGTGAGCGAAAGGATTTTTTTTATTAGATTGTCGATGAGAAGAATAAAAACTTTTTTCTTCGAAAGTCCAAATCGGTCAAATGAAATAATAACGAACAAAGAAAATAAATTTGTGAGTTTGTAAACCAAATAAGATAATTAAGAAAGAAATATCATCCGAGGTATTATTTGATAGCAGCACGTGACCACATCAAAATTAGGTCTTTTGCCAACGCTACTACTGTTATGTATGTATGTATGTTATCTTATCATTGTTATTAATATTAATATTTGTTTTAAAAAAAAATCATTGACAATAAACCTTCATATATAAAAATCATTACGTTAATTTCAAAGCATCATTTAATGATTCATTCATAATATTATTTATTATAAGTGTAATTTTATTAATAGGGTTTAAATCCTCTTGATTCTTTAAGTTTTGCAATTTTCTGTTTATCTTCTTCAAATTTCTTTCTAAGCTCCACCAATTCTATCAAAATTAAAAAAAATATAATTAACAATCACTTCAATATATATTATTAGGAATCTAAATTTTATGCTTACTATTTCTTTTAGTCTCACGTAATTGAAATCTATAAAAATCATCTAATTCTTTATTCTTTGGTTTTAGATTTTTAACATCTTCAGGTTTAATTGCTGTCACACTAATTTTACCATCCGTGTTAACACTGCGTTTTCCTACCCTTGTCACCGTGATAAATCCATCTTCATCTGGCTTATTTAATCTTTCCTCGAGTTCTTTACGTTTTTTTTGTTCTGTTTTTTCGAAATTTAACATAAAATCATCAATTTTAGCTTGAAGATCTTTTGGATCTGTATAAAGTGAATAATATTCTTGAATCCATTCTACACAAATAAATTATTCATTAGTATGTTAAGTAATAAATAATAATAACTAGAGAAATTTATTTATTATTTATTACTAGATAATCCTAGTTTAGGAACATGTTTTTCTCCTTTTTCTTTTACTTTTTCATCTATAGCACTCCATATTCTTCTCTTTTGAACCATATTTAATGCTTTTGAAAGACCATCAGAGCTTTGAAATATTATATGAGCAGGAGATCCAGCCGTCTTATGAATGCGTACTTTTTTTATTATACCACACTCTTTAAATAACTCCTTTATATGCAATTCTGTTGCATCGACAGGTAAATTTGTTATAAATAATGTTTTATCCGCAGGCAAATTATCATCATTTTTGTTGTTGTTAGTGTGTGATTCATGTTGTTTGAAATAACAATAATGATTTGCACTTATCAAAGAATCTTTATCATTTAAATTACTATGGTAACTAACTTCTATTGGAAGAACTTTAAAACCTGTCGTTGGAATTTCTATTAAAGGCAAATCGCATGCAATTGTTTTTTTGTTTTTTTTTGAAGAGCCCATTATTCTTGTCGATAAGATTTTTTTTTATGGTATCACAATAAAGAATTGTGTTAAATTAATAATTCCGATACCATTTTAGTTTGAATATTTGGACCTTGTCAATTTATTTAAATAGTCCAATGTCATTATTGATAATTCTCTGTCACAAAACAGGCTCGTTCCAATAAACCATTCCATTGTTACCCTTACCATCATAGGATGCAAATGCATGGCGAAAATAATCTCATTACTAATAGTATATACCCAAGAAATTATGTAAACACGCACATTTTTTCTTCTTCTTTCTCTTTTATACGTGTTGGAATTGGATTCATTACAATTGCCTCGATTATTTCAATTATGTTACATGGTTAAATTTTTGATTCCCTGAATTTTTATGCATTTATTAATCATGTTTTTTTTCAGGTCTTTTGCCATTTTCTCTAAGCTTCAATAAAATACACTCTATCCATATGAAAGCTTAAAATCTTTCTTTAAAATAAAAATGTAATGCCATTTTTGAATAGCCCATAGCTTTACATAGAGAATTCCTTTTGATATAAAAAATATTCATTAGAAAGCTTTAATGGTGCAGTTTTTACTTTGCTTTAATAGCGAAGTTTGTCTTAAATATAAAAATAATGAGATATACGCGATTCGAATTTAATATAATATTAAGATCTTGATCGACTGTGCGCCTCAGTCAATGATCTAATATTTACATCCTCCAAAGAATAACCTTTGAGTTTTTCTATTGCACACACAAAAAAAATTTATCTAGTAGGGAAAAAGTATATATTCTTCTGATAAGAACGTTGCTCGATAAACAGTTTTGGGTTTGCCCCCAAACAATATAGCAAATTTCTTTGAAGCTGTAAAAGAGCATTATACGATTAACATAGCATTACGAAGAATTCAAAATCGATATTATCGTTTTTTTTGTCGCGTTATGTTAAATAAGGTTGATCAACATGTAGCATAGATACCAAACATGCTAGAGCGAAAAACTCGCTGCAATTTTATTTTACAAGACTTGGTACAGAAATTTGTTAAAAAAAAAATATTATGCACTATAAATAGACTTGTAACAATTTTTTTATATTACGATAATAAAGATTTTAAAGTCAACAAAATTATTTCTAGAAAGATGTTGACGTGGAGGCAGCAAATTAGTTCAGGGCAATTTAAATAGTTTTTGCTACAAGGAAAAACGAATATAGAGGGGTTTTTTTCCTTTTGAAAAAATTTTTTTATTTCTTTATGGAATGAAAATAAAAATAAAAAATATTAGTCAAGACCACAAGCATAGCATGCCCAAATAAAGAAAATTATAATTTAAAACTTTGGAATTTAGATTTAATGATTATTATTTTTTCGAATTGATTGAAATATTAACTATTATTATTATTATTATTATTATTATTATTTATTAGAAGCTCAAAAACCCCCCATGTTTGTTCCTAAAACTTTTTTCTCGCTCTAAAAATATCAAGAGAAAAATTTACTATAATGGGTGTAATAAAAAAGTCGGAAAAACAATAAATAAAATAAATAAATAAAATAAATATTTCTTAAAAAAAAAAAACTTGAGTAGTTATTGTTAAAGGAAAGGAAAGAAGGCAATATTTTATTGAGAAGAGGAGGAGAAAGAGGAGAAGAAGGAAGAAGAAGGGGAAATGGAACAAGAAGAAGAAGAAGAGGGCTGTTGTTGTTGTTGTTGTTGTTGTTGTTGTTGTTCTTCTTGATCAATAAGAGAATTTTGATTATTATTGCCGCCATCAAAAGATTCATTATTTGGTGAAGAAGTTGTGTTGGTTGAAGAACTACCAAAATTATTAGAAATCGTAAAATCTTCAAATATTTGATTATCATTATCATTACCATTATCACTATTACTATTACTATTACTATTACTATTACTATTACTATTACTATTACTATTACTATTACTATTACTATTACTATCGTTATTATTACTATTATCACCATCACAATTACTATTGTTGTTATCATCGCTTTTTTTTTTATCACAATCTTTAGGATGTATCAATAAACCTGATAAAGAAGTATTATTGATATTTGGTGATAAGCTGGTGGAAGAATTGTTTGTAGAAATGGAAGTTGAAGCATTGGAATTGGAAGAAATATTAGCAAAAGTTGATGTAGTTGTTGTTGAAGATCCAGTAGTTTTATTATTTCTATGATTATAAAACGGCATTGTTGGATTAGAATGTGCGTAAGGCGGAATATAATTGTTATTATTATTATTATCATCATTATTATTATCATTATTATTTTTTATTTTATTTTTAGAAGATGATGGTAAAGATGAAGAGAAATTAGTAGTAGCAACACTGGTATAATTTTTATTACTATTATTAATATCATTATTATTGTGAATATTGTGAATATTGCGAATATTACTATTATTCTGGTTATTACTACCATCATTTCCATTATTTCCATTATGTGTACCATTACTATTACCATTATTGCTACTACCACTACTCACATAACCAAGAGAAGTTGACCTTGTGCTCGAGTAACCTGAATTAGTTGTTTGATCTGAATCAGGCGAATTAACATTGAATTTTGATCTTTTTCTGCCTTTATTTGATTCACGATCTAAAGAATTAATCAAGAATTTTTATTTTAAAAAAATTTAATTATGTTTTATCTATATAGAATCAAATATAAAAATAAATGAAATAAAACCTGACGATAATTTACAATTTGGATCATGTTTTTCTTTAAAATCTCTAAGGTACTCTTGATATTGTTTCCACTTATCTGTTGTTTTATAAACGGTCATAGCAGCCAAATATTCTTCTTTTGCTTTGGCTGCCTCATTCTCTATCATTTCTTTCTCTTCAGCTGGAATAGATTTCCATCGATCACCAACTATTTTAGCCATATCAGGGAAAGAGATATTTTTACCCTGATACTCCTCACGAACTTTATGAGAAAACATCACATAGGCTGATAATGGTTTTACCGGAGCATTCTTGTCTCTTTTTGGATGTCGTTTATATTTTCTTTTACCATTATTATTATTTGCATCTTCGTTATTATTGGGATCGTTGGGATTCTTGAGGGTGAGATTAAGATTGGTTTTGTTGGGTAATGGATATGAAGAAGAAGATTGATCATTATTATTATTAAATTTAGCAGTAGTATCAGCAGCAGTAGCAGCAATGTTTCTGGAGGGTTGATTAATGGTCATTGTAGAAGGTTTAGATAATGTTAGGGCGATTTGTCGTTGAAATGATGACTCATTATTATTGTTGTAAAAACTTTGTTGACTATGATTAAGTGGAGGAAGAAGATTTGGTGGTTGATGACGAGCACATGATTCTGTAACATCATCAGAACCAAATATAGAAATAATAATAAAAAATTTGTAACAAAAAAGAACATAATAGTCAATATACAAATTTAGATTAAACATAATAGATGCAGGAATTTAAAAAATTTCCAAAAAAGAATTAAGAAATTTGTCGTCATAATCATGTTGTACCACCGATATTTTTAAAATAACAATAACATATATATACGTACCACCGACATTATTATTACAACTATAACCGTAATTATTATTGTAATCAAAACCACGACTTCTGCCTCCATTTGGACCATCAATTAATACTGGTATAGAAGAACCAGGTGCAGCAGCAATAGTAGGAATTAGATTTTTACCAGGATTTGTCATCGACGTTGATAGATTTGTCGACGCTGAAGTGGTTGATGATGAATAATCACCGATTGATCCTAATCCTGGTTCGGATTGAATGTGTAATGGTTGGCTTGTCGGTATTCCTTTCATTGTGGCTATTTCACGTTGTATACGCTATATTATTAAATTATTTAATTGATTTGATTAATGAAATTCGACTATAAATCTGTAAACATACTTTTATATTTAAATTAATTAATTACTTACTCTTCGATGACCCCTTTTCACATTCATTGCTATTAAATCCATTTCTGTTATATCAAACAACTAAATTCAAATTATCGGTGAGTAACAATGATATTATCATTATAATATAATAAATATAATTAAATAAAATAATAATATACTAAACAAAGACTTACAGATCGCATCTGATCAAAACCTTCCGATATAAGTCTATCGTAATATTCTAAAAGATCACATTGTCTCAAAAATTCGAGAACTTGTGGATAATTCTGTGCATTTGACATGTTTTATTTATATGAAAAGTTTAAAAATTATGGGGATTATATGTATATATTTTTATTTTTATTTTTTGGACAACAAAATAATTTATATAGTGTATATAGGAAAATCGTCAAAAATAAAAAAATAATATAATAGATGATCGATAAAAAAAATAAAAATAAGATATATATTGTGTATTAAATTAATATAAAATGGTGATAGAGGATGCTGAATGAATATGGGTTTTTGACAATTATAAGATCAAAATAAAGAAAATTCGAGAAATTTCAAGTTAAAAAATTTTCATAATAAAACAAAAAAAAACTCTTTTTGTTAGAGAAAAAAAAAGAATAATAGATATTATTTTTTTTGTATGTGCTAATTTACTTATTCACATGATATTAAATTTTATCAAGAAAATTTTTTAAAAAGAAAAAGGGGGCTTTCAAATATAGGATTTTTTTATACTATTTTTTTTTCCCTGATTTCATGAATCAAAAACAAAAATTCGATAGTATTTTTTATAAATGGATTTTTTTTGGGCATTACACAATGATAATGAGATAAACGATATAAAAAAAAATTTTTTATAATATTAAAGTTCAGTGGGCGCAACGGGTACGTGCTAACAAAATGCATACAGTTGCAAATAGTCAACAAAATTCGTACATATGACGCAATTGAATTTTATATACTGTTTGTAGGAATACAGAATTGATAAAAACTCATTTTCTCATATAACTATTATTGATGTTAGTGAATGCATATATATATTATGACATAATAATAAGAATTATTGATAAATATATTAACGGATTATTAAGCAGGGCGGGAAACAGTGATAAATTTCTGATTTTTCCGAAAGGAGATTCCCAAATTTTTATTTATATATCACCTTCATATTTGATTAGCTGATTGATTTCAAATTCACTATTTTAATTAGGCAAATTTCCCAACGCCTCATTCGAGATCGGCAGAAAATACCTCTGATTAAAAAATCCGTACCACCTTGAATTACCTGGGAAAAAAAAAATTTTTTATTTTTTCAGTTGGTTTATAAAAAATTTTCTTGCAACATTAACACCTTCATCAGTAGTTTCCTTTAATTCAGGTATAGCTGCTGACAATAATACTTTTTCGTAGGGACTTAATTCACCAAATGGATAAATTTCACCGAGACATTCTGAACTTAAATTCAACATCTGACACGAAATAATTAATTAATACCTTGCGCTCAGCAGATTCAATTATTCCTTTTTCACCATTTACTATTTCACACCATAATGAATCAGTGAAATGTGCTGCTACATTGTTACATGGGCCATTGAAAGTGTCACTGATACAGTTCCTATTAAAAAAATTTTTTTAAAAAATAAACGTAAATAAATTCGCTTTAACAACTTCATTGTATTCTATGAGTTAAAGTTTTTATCTCTTTTTCTGTGAGATTTGATCCAATTTGAGACAGCAATGGAATGCCAGAATGTCCTCCAACTACTGTAATCCTTTCATTTTTGAATCTGTGCCTTTAATTTCTATACAAAACGAGATGCACGAACAATATCAAGAGTCGTGACACCAAACATTTAAAAAAAAAATTGTGTGACGCAGAAATTCCTGCAACAAAACCAGACAAAGTGAACATTGGTATTACCAAGGGATCAAAATTTAACCACGCAATTTTATAATATCCCATTTGTCAAGTGATATATAGAACTTCATGTACAAAAATAATGATAATATGAAATTAATTAATTTATATCTGACCCACCATGGAGTCCAAGAATTATAGTACTATCAGAAGTATTTTAAAAAAGTAACAAGATGAAAAAATTGCTTCTTATATTTTCAAAATAAATAATACTCAGCCACTGGAAGCTATCTAAGAAAAGAATGGTTTACTTATGAAATTTACCAAGAAGGAGGAAAAACCATAATCAGTAAAAGAATTTTACCACAAAACCATGAAGAATTTAGAAAAAAAAAAGAAATTTGAAGGGAAATAATTTACTGCATAATTTAACATGTTTTGTTATCTTTTAAAGATTAAAGAAAATAAAAAAGATTTGGTAAAAAAGAATTAGTATGGATTGATTTGACTGACTTGCTTAGGTTTTCTTTCAATTATTTGTTCTTGTTTCTTTTTTAAATTATCACTTGTTTTTTTGTAAACTGTTGTAGTTTATTCTTTTTCCTTGGTAATGCTGGTAAAGACTTATTGGTAAATGTAGTTGTTGTTTTAGTTGCTGAATTTTTTGGGCTTGTCAACTTATCTTGACTGTTTCTAATTGCTCTAATTTCTCAGCTAATTGTCTTTCTCTTCATTCTTGGTCCACTTTTAAGGCTTCAAGGTGAGTTTCAGCATCTAATTTTGCCTCTTAGTTTTTTGCTTTCAGTCTTCAATAATTTCAATAATTTAATTATTGTGCTATTTCTCTCTTCATTTCTTAATTGTTTAATAAATTCTTCTTTTCAATTATCTTTATCTGTCTCTATTTCTTCATTAATTGGCTCATGATATTTTGAAACCACTTCAGCAATGTTTTTTTATAATCTTTTTCAATTCTTTCTTTTTTCTTAGCTAATTTATACTTTTCCGTTTCTGTTTGAGTTTTCTTTTTCTAATCCCAATTTTGTAATTATTAAATCATCAATTATATCTTCTTTGTATTCTTTTTACTGGACATTTACAGTCCTCGTCACAGCGAACCTCGTCACAGCGGATTTCTTGTTACAACGGATTTAAATATTGGCCCCTTAATTAAAATGTTTGCTAATAAATTCGGATTTTTGATTGGGATCCTTTCTATATAATAGTTACTAGCTCATCACAACGGATTCACGTGACATATAAATTTATGAAATTTATCCAAATTACCAAAATTAGTAATCAAAGGTCAGTATTAAAATAAAGCAATAAAACAAACAATTTATCCAAAGATTTTACGAGTAACAAATTTTCTAAAATAAATCAATACAAACAATTGATAGATTATTTGTCCAAAAGTTTGCGAGTAACAACTTTTTCCAAGTTTCTAAAGTAAACCAATAAACAAACAATTGATAAGTTATTTGTCCAAATGTTTGCGAGTAACAACCTTTTAAAATAAATCAGTAAACAAACAATTGATAGATTATTTGTCCAAATTTTTGCGTGTACGAAATTTTCCAAGTTACTAAAATAAACCATAGATTATTTATCCAAATGTGTGCAAGTAACACAAAATTTTCCAATAATTGATAAAATTATTTATCCAAAACAATAAAACAAAACAATATCATTTTTCCAAAGATTCACGATAAAGTCAATTATATTATAATTTAAAGCATTTAAATATTGAAAAGAAAAATGGAAAAACTAATACAACTAAATACTATAATAATAATAACAAATAATTTTAATTTTCGCATGTGTTAATTTTTGCAGATCATCACCAATTTGGATTTCTTCTGGAACCATAAATCCGCTGTGACGGTATGACTATTCTTCTAGTTTTTCGACTTTCTTTTTTTATTGTATTAATTCTTGATTATTTTCGAGTGCTAAAATTCCTTTTACTACTACCATAATATATTATTTTAATATATTCATGAAAGCTTTATGTTAGTTTTGGACAAGTAATACCTTTAAATTCATTCTTTACCAATGGACAAATGTTATTATAAAGGTATTTCTGTCTTTTGTAATTCAAAGAAGAGTAAATTGTTGGGTTAATAAAACATATAAAATTAGATAATTTCATAAATCTCAATTTCCTCACAATTTCCTCATGATGTCTTCACAAAAGCATAAACCTCTACGTAACTTGTTCCAATACTTCATTGTGACCTATTCACTGTAAACTAGTGACTTTCAATAATTGAAAAATGCCTGAAGGAGAAAAACAAGAGACAAAATCTATTATTCATGCTGTTAATGGAAATAATAATACTTCTTTTTTGAATTTCACTTTTCTGCTACATCTCCTGTAATATCTGATTCACAAATATAGCCTGGCCTGCAATTAATTTGAAATTATAAAAAAAAATTTTTGAAGTTTTAGTCTATCAAATCTCACTTTCTTCTATATATAACAAAGTATTCTGAAATCTTATTTTATTATGAAAATTTTTTTGTCTTTTTAAAATACTAGATTTTATTTTATTCTTTCACATGATTTATGTGCTAACTTTTCATGACAATTCTTACGCATTTAGAAGTTTTTATATGATGATCGCCCCAAAATTTATAAAATGCTCCGGCAATTAATTTCTTCAAAAACGTCTGCTTTTCTAGTTTTCAATAAATTGAATTCAGCAAAAGGTTCATTGGCAATTTCCTGAATTTTGACCACACCAGGATTAGACACTTCAAAAAGAAAGTGTTGATATTTTGCAGACCATTAATTTTTTAAAATAAATTCCCAAAATTGATTTGGTATCCAAGTATTGAAAGCCTTTTAGCATTGAGTTTCACTCAATCCTGCTAGGCTGGATCTTTTCACTACATCAATCACATGACCCACATAATCTACACTTGTTTTCCTATAGAGTTTTTTAATCAATCCAAAACTACCATCACATTTGAATTTGGTATGACCAGGAATCATGAAATTCAATTCAACACTTTCATAATAACCATCAAATACTAAATATAAATAGAACCAGATTGTTACACTGTTTTTATTTTGCTTCCAGCATTATCTTTAAATGCTTTTCACCCTTATTCAATTTCTTAATTCCATCAAAGTTCATATTAAGAGTTCCATTAGGACCTTTACCTATAATTTCATCTTCATCAAGAACATAATTAATTCGTTTCCTTACTGCATCATCTTGAATCCCAAATAATGACCTTACATGGACTAAGGTAATGTATTTGAGGAAAGATTAGGGTTCATGCAAGTGTTCTTGACAATGATGCAGTTTCAATAAGCTCCTTCTGAATTTTGTTTGGAGCAAAGGAATAAATTGATATGTTTAAATTATGCAAAATCAGATGAATAATCTGTACATAACAAATAGCTTGGTTTTGTGATTTTGATAATTGGGTGCTGTTTTCAAAAATTGTTCTTATTACTATTACAATTGTGATAATATTAAATCTTTGCGTAATCTAATGTTCGTTTTGTTGCAGTATGCCTCATATAATACGAACAACAACGTTATGTATATTAATTACGTTAATATTATGAAAAAAAAAAAGTTTTCAAGTATCAAATTCTGAAGCATCTTTAATTGTAATGAAATAATAATATGGTGCTAAAGTAACTATTGATTTTTTAAAATTTAATTTACATGGACACAGATTCTTTAATATCCGGGGTTGAGACTGATCCAACAACAACAGACCTGACTGAATGTTCAATCAATATACAGCTTTGATAACAACAACAACGAAAAATAAAACAAAATAACAACAATTCATCATCCTCTTCCAAAAGAACAACAACAACAACATTTCAACAATTCTTTGCTCAGCAGCAACAACAAATTTACGAGTTTCTTTCTTCATGCTGAAAAAGAAATAGAGAAGAGAATTTGTTGTTGTTGTTGTTGTCGAGCAAGATTTTATAAAATATTAATTATATTATTTTTTCGTAGTTTTATAATTTTTATAATCAAAATTGAAAAAGAAAAATATATTAGAATTTTCCCTTACTGCTTGTTGTCATGCATGACCTTCAACATTAATTAAAAAAGATTGAAATGACCAAGTCTAACGCAAATAAAATAAAGTTTGTTAAGTTCCCTACGGGAATTCCACGACGTAAAAAAACAGATAATGACATTACTGTACTTGATAATAATGTTGTTCATAACAATTTTAATACTACCCATAACGATCTCAACTACAATGCCAATAATATTAATACCGTCAATAACAATGTCAATTTCCATACCAATAATACTAATTCTGTTGCTAATAACAGTATCAGGCTCAATAATAGTAATATCACTAATAACAATGTCAATATCAACAACAAAAAAATCAACACTGTTAATAGCTATGTCAACAACAATAGCAACGAAGTATTAACTTACCTTAAAACAGATAGCTGGAGAAAGGCAAGACCAGGAGAAACTCCATGGATTAAGAGTAGAGTTAATCAAAATTATAAATCTGTGGTGCATAGGTAATAATATATATTAATAAAATACTTAACATTTAAAAAAAAAGAATGCCATGAAAGGAAAAAAAAAACAATCAAATTTATCCAATTAATTATATGAATATCTTATTAGAATGAAATATGAATTAAATGATTTAATAGATTACCTTTCTCCAACTGAAGTAGAAAGATCATTAAGAATATTTAGCATCAAAAGGATTGAAAATGCGATAAAGGAGAAATTTGTTGGTTCTGAAGTTTTTGTATTTGGAAGTTATAGATATGGTTGTTATCTTCCAACTAGGTAAAATATTTTGCCTTAATAAATAAATAATTAATTAATTAATTAATTGACCAATTAACTAACTAATTATTGTTATTAGCAACATTGATATTGTTGTTTATGCTCATGTCAATACTCCAGAAGCTCTACTTGACTTAGCTGATTATTTAGAAACTAGAAATTATTCTTGTTGTGTCCCATTAGTGACTATTGGTGCAGCAGTATGTATTGATTATATCAAATTATAAAATCTGCCATTTGATTTAAATTTAGAAATTTAACTATTAATTAATTAATAATAATGATCCAACTTTATTAATAATATAATAGGTCCCTGTGATCAAATTCAAAGAAAAATATTCTAGTATTAAATTTGAAATATCATTTAATCAGAAACATGTTTTTAAATCTGTTGATAATATTTCAAAGTTTCTTAATGATATTCCCATTCTCCAGAAAATGTTGTTAGTTCTAAAATATTTCATGAAACATCATAACCTTGATGATCCATCTAATGGTGGAATGAGGGGCTATACTTTATTCTACATGGTTCTAAGTTTTCTACAGGTATTTAATTTATTTTAAAATAATAATAATTGATTTATATTAATTTCTATTTATCTATTTATTTATAAATATCAAGTTACACCCATATTATGGAACTTTAAAAATGGATGATGATAGCAATCTTGATGTTTTAATTATAGAATTTTTTGAATTATATGGAACTCAATTCAATTACACTGATTTAGCAATTATTACAGCAAATGAAGGGAATGAAGGATGCTATTGTTTAAAAGTATTTAACAAATAATCTGATATATATACACACTTTATGTTTATCACATTCGTATATATTATTTTAAATAAAAAAATTATTTTCTTTATATTATATAGAATAGCCAGACTTGGACAGTTAAAAAACCAATTAAGAATTTATGTATACAAGACCCATCAAATCCTGGTATTCATATTTATATAAATAAATAAATTTATTATATTATCGTTAAACTTATTATCATCATAATTGTATGTATATATTATGAATTTAGATGTTGATTTAGCATGTGCAACAACAGACGTGGTAAAAATTCAAAAAGCATTTAAACGAGCATACCTACGACTTGTTAATAGAGTGGGACTACTTGAAAGAAAACTTAGACCAGTTGGTACTAATCATGTTAGTGGTTTTCAAAATGGTTCAATACTTTCATCTATCTTGTTTGTTTCAGAGGATTTACAAATATCTAGAAGAAAATTAGCACGAGAGTACCACGATGATGACTTAAAACAATTGGTTCAAAGAACAGGCAATGATCTTGGAACATTATTACAGCTTGATAATTGTTGTAACGTGATCAAGAAATATGAAAAAGAAATTAAATATATGTGCGATCAGTATAAACTTACGAGGTAAAAAAAATTTCTCTTATTTAAAAGTTATTTTATAACTTCAAATGTATATATTAATGATTATTTTAATTTAATGAAAAAAAGTTTTAGTTAAAAAAGAATGAATGCAAAAAAAAAAAATACAAGTAATAGCCTTCCTCTTTCGCAAAAAAAACAATTAAGAATATAATTAAAATGCATAATGCTAGTTTCTAAAGGCGAGATTGTACTGCATATTATGGAATGTATATAATTGAACTTCTTTGAAGTTGGTTGCAGTGAAAATTGAAAAAAATCAAATTTTTTATTTAAAATAAAATCAATGCATTAAACCCACAAAAATTTTTAATATTATTTCTTTATCACTTGTGTGTCATCCTTATTCTGAAAATTTATTTTATGTGCTTAATTATTATATGGAATATAAAGAAAATTTGGACAATATTTTAAAATTTTTTGCATTTTTTTTTTTTTAATTCTTAAATAAAACAAAATGCCTTGGAACAAAAAATTTAATGTTCGTTTCGTTTGAATGACATTCGTAATAATCACAAAAATGATATCGCAAACAAGTTCAATTATATATACACATAAGGCCAGTTTTATTAGCATTAGTAATCTTTATGATGGTATGGCATTGTATATACTTGAAGTTGGTATGAAAACTTCATTAGATATAAAATTGCATTATTTTGTTAGAGAAAATCTTAGTGGCAACCTTTTATTTAAATTCAATATATTTCACAGAGAATAAGCCAGCTAAAAATAACATTTGTTTCCCGTGAATAAACTGTAGTTTCTTTTAATACTATCGATCTTGAGCAAAGAGAATCCACATCTTACTTTACCCGTTGATGAATTTGTTTGAAAGAATATGTTTGTAGGAACAATTCTTCGCCTCCATGGATCAATCCAATGCACATACAGTTTCTTTCACAACTGAATATATGACATGCCCTCTGATATTGGGTGGGAATTTTATTCCTTGACTAATTCGCTCAATTGTTAGTATTTGTTGCATACTAGAACTACTGTTTTCTTTTCGGCAGTCAAAGGATTCTGTGCTGGCATTTTTTTCTTCCCAAAGACCGAATTTGTTAAACAGTATATTAGATTTCCGCTTTCTTCGAAGATTTAAGTCAGGACATACAACTTGATTAAAAAAATATACTTCATTTGACTCCAGGTTCTGTTCTATTTCAGCAAGACTGCTTATAGCGTATCATAAATGGCCTAGGACCTTGATGAAATTCATTACACAATGGGGTCGTGCTCTTTTCAACATTTAAAAAACTTTTTAGGATCTGTTCAACATCAATCAAGACTGTGAGATCTATCTAAAAGAATATTCGATTCCGTTATTAAGCCAAAATTGACCTTATCCGTAATATTTGCATCCAAGGCATTCTAGGAACTCGGTGAAATATTAATTTATTACATAGCACAAAAATCTAATGATGTGTTTATTGATCCAGTGGGCAGAAATGGGAGTTGATTCTTGCTAGTCCACGCATCAATTGTAAATGATAATAAGCCAGGTGATTTCTAACACATCAATTAACTTATTATTATTGGTTGGAGTTGAATCAGCCGATTTCTTTCTATCAACTACTGTCCAATTATCTTGAATGTCTTTTGAAACAGGTGTAGGTATATTATTAATAATTTTAATAATTGGCTGTTCATGACAATCGTCTCCCTATTCTTTTTGTACAAAAGTGCAAGTCATGCATCTTGATTAAAATAAATTTTTTTATCCCAGACTCTGTTTAACATCAGCAAGGCTGTGGGATCTATAGAAAGAATATTAGATCTTTTATCTACTATACCAAGGTTGACCCTGGGATAATCCTTTGAATAATGACCATAATATTCGCAAATACAGTATTCTAGACTAATCGTGAAATTTTTTGGCCTCTCATGTAGTTTCTATCACTCGATCACGTGATACGTCTTGATATGTAGAAATTAGGTACAATTACTTACCCATTGATTGATACGATGTGGAAAGGCATGTTTTGCTGTGAACCCATAAATTATAAAGAATTCCTTTGGTCTTTTTGATTTTTTATTTGATTTTTTCTCTTCATCCATACTAGATACCAAAGTTCGGAATACTTTTGCTAATTATTGTTATTATTATAATAAATTATCTTGAATAGCTCTCAAAACAATTATGTTCTTGTGAGCTCCTAATATATTCGTTCCCTTTTTTCTTTTACCGTATAGATTGTTTTTGTGTGGCATTTTGTTTAAGGAAAAAATTTTTGATCGAGTAAACAAACACGTATTTAAAAAAGACATCATCGTCTTATCGGGTTCTGACTGTAGTAGTAGTACATTGAAAATCGTGTGATTTTTGCCCCGTAAAATCGTTTTGTTGAACAAAATATTCGCGATTATTATACAAAAAGGCTTATAATAAATAAAGAGATATTGTTTAATAGTTTAAGATCGTCTACTAAATCGCTAGGGTCACCAGAAAAGTACAGGTACAGGGATCAACAAATTTCACCTGTACCCTGTACCTTTCAAGATTCACTCACTAAATCTAGGCAAGTGGTACAGGTGATATGCAAAAAATGTGAAAAATGAGAAATGCAAAAATGAGGAATAATCTTTATGTGCAAGTCATTGATTTTAATATGGCAGAAAGAAGTGGTTTCGTTGAGGAATTTTGTTGAACATAAGTTACAAAAGACACTGAACATAACCTCTTTTGCTAAAGAGGTATTAAATGCACACAAAAGTTCATTGGAAAATGAAGC